TTTTGAGGCCTTCAGTGAGAATCTACAATGTAAATAGTCATGAAAATAAAGAAAACGCATTGAATGAGAAGGTGTGTCCAAACTTTTGGCCTGTACTGTATATATATATGTCTACGTCAAACGGACTTACATAGAGACAGAAAACCCAAAAAACACATAATGCCTCCGCCACAGCTATCACCAGCGTGGAGATAATGCAAGGGTCTGCAATGGTGTGAGCATGTGTCTACTGGAACTGCTCAGCCAATGAAATACGTTCCAGGGCTTCAAATCTAACAACCACACCAACTTTATACAGTCATCGGTTAGATGAGAGGAGATGTGAAAGTGGGCTGGGTTTGAACCTGTCTCTAAAGCTCTCTTCTTTCATTCTTAACAAACTACCTATGTGACTCCTCATGTTTTAATGTCTTTGAGGAGAGAGACCCCCCACCCCCCAAAAAGCATGAAAAATTACAAACCAAGAAAATAATAACTAGGCCAATAAAATAGGTCAACATAACAACTGTACTAATTATTATAATAACTAAACAAGGTGTTATTTGAACAAACTGACCAGTCAAAATGACACATGAGGGAGCACATATAGTGGCTTGGCCTAATAAATGTATATGTATGTGTGTGTGTGTGTGTGTGTGTGTGTGTGTGTGTGTCTGCGTGTGTGTGAACTGTGAGGAGGAGGTCAGCCCCGACATGTAGAGAGCTTATTTTTACTATGGTTGTGATTCATTTTGCCTCAGGCCGTTTAATACCGGTTCTCGGTACCAATCCCTGCCTGGGTCAGTTGAATAGGCCTGGTCTACAGTGTGGCGTCGGTCTATGTGTTGCACGTGTTATGCTAAATCAGTCTGTGAGATGAATGACATTACTGTTGTAGCACATGTACAATACTGTGGGCCTTTTCCACTGTCACTTTTGGTCGCGCAATTTGTGTTTCCATTAACACCAAAGTAGGCCATTATTACCAGAGTAGGTTCAAAAGCCGGGCCGCCTGCCTTAAAGCAGGTAGCAGTAACGTCTCACCGACTGCAGCCAACCCCTGACAACCACGCTTTTCCGCCTCAAACAAGCTGTGTGTGTTGCCAGACTCTACTCACCTGTCTGCAGACCAGAGAGAAAGTTTTTTTTAAAAGTCTCTGTGTTCAGCTCTCCCTACTTTTGTTTCGGTTCTGTGTCCTGTTTTTACTTTACATATCTGCTTTATTTTACTGTTTCGTGTTCACTATCAGCCGTATTAGAAGTTGTGTGAAGTTGCTGCTTGAAAACTCAACATTTCTGTTTTTTGTTGCTTCACAGTAAAAGTTTTTACATAACAAAATAATAGGGGACTTTTATTGTGAAGAATCCATAAGAAATGAAATGTGTTTATCACTGAATTAGCAAAACGGTGTTCAATCAATTCAATCAATCAATTTTATTTATAAAGCCCAATATCACAAATCACAATTTGCCTCACAGGGCTTTACAGCATACAACATCCCTCTGTCCTTTGGACCCTCACAGCGGATAAGGAAAAACTCCCCAAAAAAACCCCTTTAACAGGGGAAAAAAACGGTAGAAACCTCAGGAAGGAGCAACTGAGGAGGGATCCCCTCTTCCAAAACGGACAGACGTGCAATAGATGTCATACAGAACAGATCAGCATAATAAATTAACAGTAATCCGTATAACACAATGAGAGAGAAAAAGAGAGAGAGAGAGACAGAGAGGGAGAGAGATGCAGGACAGATGGTAATGACAGTAGCTTACAACAACATTAATGAAAGTAATAATATTATAATTATAGTTCTGGCTACTGTGATACAATATGTTGAAAGTATATATTAATATCTGACAGTGTACATATGTGGCAATAATCATATGTGTATAATAACAGCAGGAAGGAAGAGCAACTGAGGAGGGATCCCTCTTCCAAAACAGACAGACGTGCAATAGATGTTGTACAGAACAGGTCAGCATAATAAATTAACAGTAATCCGTATAACACAATGAGAGAGAAAAAGAGAGAGAGAGAGACAGAGAGGGAGAGAGATGCAGGACAGATGGTAATGACAGTAGCTTACAACAACATTAATGAAAGTAATAATATTATAGTTATAATTCTGGCTACTGTGGTACAATGGCAGTATACATGTGTGACAATAATCATATGTGTATAATAACAGTAGAAGTATGACTAATGACTAATGATGGCAGCAGCAGCAGCAGGAGGCATCTGGCAGGACCACGGCAGCAGCACAACCACACACGTCACGCTATCCAGGCACCGCTGCAATACGAGTTAATCTGAGAGACAGTGGAGCACAAAGGCTCCGGAGAAGAAGCTGAATTAGTGACATCCAGAATGGCCAAGTTAGCAAGATGCAGTAATGGGATGAGAGAGAGAGAGAGGGAGAGGGAGAGAGAGAAGAGAAGGAGAAAAGGTGCCCGGTGTATTATAGGGGGTCCTCCGGCAGACTAGGCCTAAGTCAGCCTAACTAGGGGCTGGTACAGGGCAAGCCTGAGCCAGCCCTAACTATAGGCTTTATCAACGAGGAAAGTCTTAAGTCTAGTCTTAAATGTGGAGACGGTGTCTGCCTCCCGGACCGTAACAGGAAGATGATTCCACAGGAGAGGAGCCTGATAGCTGAAGGCTCTGGCTCCTGATCTACTTTTGGAGACTTTAGGGACCGTGAGTAACCCTGCGTTCTCAGAGCGCAGTGTTCTGGTGGGATAATAAGGCACTATGAGCTCTATAAGATATGACGGAGCTTGACCATTTAGAGCTTTATAAGTTAACAGTAGGATTTTAAATTCAATTCTGGATTTTACAGGGAGCCAGTGCAGAGAAGCTAAAACAGGAGAAATATGATCTTGTTTCTTAGTTCCTGTTAGTACACATGCTGCTGCATTCTGAATTAGCTGGAGAGTTTTTAAGGACTTACTAGAGCTACCTGATAATAAAGAGTTACAGTAATCCAGCCTTGAGGTAACAAAAGCGTGGACCAATTTTTCTGCATCTTTTCGGGTCAGGATAGGCCTAATTTTCGCAATATTGCGCAGATGAAAAAATGCAGTCCGTGAGGTTTGTTTTAAATGAGAATTAAAAGACAAATCTTGATCAAATGTTACTCCGAGGTTTCTTACGGTAGTGCTAGAGGCCAGAGCAATGCCATCTAGAGAAACTATGTCATCAGATAAAGAGTCTCTGAGTTGTTTGGGGCCAAGAACAATAACTTCAGTTTTGTCTTAATTTAACATCAGTAAATTGGTGCTCATCCAGGTTTTTATGTCTTTAAGGCAGTTATGGAGTTTAGTTAATTGATTACTTTCTTCTGACTTCATCGATAAATACAACTATATATCATCCGCATAACAATGGAAATTTATAGAGTGATTTCTAATGATGTTGACTAAAGGAAGGATATATAGAATAAATAGGATTGGTCCGAGCACAGAACCTTGCGGAACTCCAAAACAAACTTTAGTATGTAAGGATGATTCATTATGAACGTCAACAAACTGAAAACGATCAGATAAATAAGATTTAAACCAGCTTAGTGCAGAATTTTTTAGGCCATTTAAGTGTTCCAGTCTCTGTAGTAGAATTTGATGGTCATTTGTGTCAAACGCTGCACTAAGATCTAATAAAACAAGTACAGAGACGAGTCCTTTGTCTGAAGCAGTCAGAAGGTCATTTGTAATTTTAACTTCGCGGCTTTTCTCCAGTAAAGGTAAATGTAATGTCATGTAAATGGTAGTGGAGTGATTAGTGGAGTCATCAATGAGTGAAACGGATCTGTAAAAATCCAATCAGAATAGCACTTTAAATCACCTCCGTATGTGGTTTGAATCAGATTTGGAAAAATCGGATCTCATGTGTTTTTCGCTGTCCAGACTGTCAGAAAATCAAGCTTGATACAATCTGGATATGCTAAAAATCCGATTTTGAGTGGTAATCTGAACAAGGCCTTACTGCACCTCTGCAAACAGCTCACCCCCAACAGATAAACCTGTTTTACCTGCCCTGCTGTGGAAAAACACATGCAGCAAAAATAACAGAAAACTTTAGCCATGGATCTTGCAACTGAACATGTAGCCCACTTTGTAGAAAGTACTGGGATATATATCGTGCACCACCATTCAGCCTGAAAATACCAGAATATGAATTTTTGTCCATGTCTCCCAGCCCTAATCAGACTACAATGGCTCAAACCTAAACTTAAATGTTTATCTGTGTGTTACTTCCAGTGTTCGTGCCGTCAGGACATGGTGAAGATCTCCATGGATGTGTTTGTGCGCAAATTTCAGCCTGACCGTTATAAGCTGTGGCAGGCAGGGAAGGACAACACCCCCATCGACCACTCTAAACCCACACCAGAGGCTGCAGAGTTTCTGAAAGAAGACAAGAGTGAGCCTTCAAAAGAGACTCCCATTGAAGTTGTATCTGAGGAGCCAATGTCTCCTGCCCAGGAGGACAAAAGGTCTGAATTTATACTCGCTACTATCGCATCTTCTGCATTTACTAGTTACTCTAATATGGATGTGAATTTCTTATGAAATATGAAATGCCTAAATTCTCTAAATTAAAGCTGTATTTAAACTATTTCTGGCATATTTTTGCTACACAACTCCTGTGAAATAAGTATTTGAATCACTTTTTATGCCTCCACTTACGTTGATGAGTCCGTCTGTCCATCGTCCGTCATGTTCTTGTTCATCCCATTCTTGTGAATACAATATCTCATGAACATCTTGAGGGAATGTATTCGAATGTGTCACAAATGTCCACTTTGACTCAAGAATGAACTGATTAGAATTTGGAGGTTGAAAGTCAAAGGTCAAGCTCACCGTGACCTCACAAAAATGTTTTTACCCGTAACTCAAGAATTCATACACTAAGTGTGACAAAATTTCACACACAACACAAATGCCTAAAATGATAAAATGATAAAGTGATGTACTTTATATATGCTAAAGGTTAAAGGTCAACTTCACTGTGACATCACAGTGTTCTTCAAAAACACTTCTCTGGCCATTATTCAGTGCCATATCTCAGGAACAACAGTGAAGACATTTGGTCAGATACTGAATTGGTGACTTTTTACTTGGGTGTCTACCTTGAAACTGTGGTGATTGTATTGATCTTCTGCGCTGTCAGCGGGAAGATGTGTGTGAAGCATCCATGTTTTCACAGACATGGATGTAAACTGTAAGTGCAATGTGACGGGTTTCCGGAGGTAAACAACCGCAAGGTAGTAATACTAAATGTTTTTTTCTGTAGTTTTTGCAGTCTTTTGATATGCTTTTGATGAGGAGGTAACATACTGTCAATCACAGGTGAGCTGATAACTGTGCTCTCAGTGACAACAGTGATTCAGTATTGTCATTTCAGTTTTAAGATTCCATGGTAAAGATTTGTTGGTACATGTACTTAATTCAGAATTGTTGCTTTGCTGTCTATGGGAAACTGTGTTTACCTTTGAGTCCTGTTGACATGTCTGCACTGTCTCCCATGCAGCAGTCCAAAGCCTCAGACTGGGACAAAGCGTCAGCTTGAAGCCTCTGAAGACATCAAACCTGAGGTGACCATTAAGGAGACTGAGGAGGTGGAGCCAAAGAAGGCCAAGCTGTCACGTAAGGAGTCTCCAAGTCAAGTCCCTGTCAAGACAGATAAAGGTACTGTACAGTTTGTACAGATCTTTGTTTCAGTTTTTGGGTTTTGTGTTAAGTGAAAAAATAATTTCAGCATATGAGAGGAAGGTGATCTTTAAGGTATTTAAAAGGTACTTAAAGGTATTTTTAAGATTGGCGCATTTTTTCTAAGTAGTTAAAGCTCTGGCCTCTTTTGATCTTACTGCTATTTTCCTTGGCGCTTTGATGTTACATCTTTTGGAGTTAGAATTGGCCCTACAACTTGAGAACCTATAGGCTCTGCACATACAATAAAGACTTAAATTGCTCATGGTAACAGCTATTTAATGGATCTCAAAATTGGAAGTACATATCTGCCCGCCTGACTTTGTTTTGTCAGTCACCTTAAGAAATGATTTTCAGGTACTGGACTGCAAGCATACAAACCAGACAGACGACTACATCTTGTGACACAGCTAATTCTTCCACCTGTATATTCCAAGTATCACAAGGACAGCATTTAACCACGTAAAATAACATTTCCAAAGTTAGATCCATCCTGTCTCAGTCAGACGCTGAAAACTGGTTCATGCTTTCATCTCCTCCAGACTAGATTACTGTAATGTCCTTCTTGCCGGACTCCCTAAAAAGACTGTAGGACGGCTCCAACTTAATAAAAATGCTGCAGCCAGAGTACTGACCGGGACTAGAAAAATGGAACATATTACTGCCATACTCAAAACACTTCACTGGCTTCCAATAAAATACAGAATTGATTTCAAAATACTCCTTACTGTTTACAAAGCACTTAATGGTCTGGCTCCTCAATACATATCTGACCTGCTCACAGCCTACATACCCCTTAGATCATCAGACACTGGTCTACTAACTGTGCCCATGATCCAAAATAAATTTGTTGAAGGTGCATTCAGTCATTATGGCCCAATTCTCTGGAACAAACTGCCTGATGATCTGAGATTCCCTGCAACCGTGTCATCCTTTAAGCTAGCCCCGGCTCTCCATTTAGATCCAACCGGAGCACCGAGCCCAGGTTTGTTATTCAGGTTAAAGTGGGAAGAAGCAGCGGGTTTGTCGGGCAGCTGAGTGAAGTGGAGCCTGCAGAGGAAACACTGCACCTTTAAAGTCAAGCTTAAAGGGGAACTAATGTTTTTTTTAAACCTGGGCCCTATTTTCCGATCTACTTTTGTCTAAATGAGTGATAGGATGTTCAATATTTGACATTTCTCCAGTATGAACCTAGGGCTGACCTGTCTGTTGCCCGTGAGCGCCCGCTATATTAAATAATAGGGCACTCAGACAGCGTCAAACAACGTCAAAATACGTCCACTAAAAGTGCATTTTTTTCCACACAGATAGACTCGGATTGTTAGTATAATTATCTGACAACATAACGTATAGGAGAAATGAATGCCTGTGTTTACCTTTAGCTGGATTCGGACAACGCGAGGAGTTACTCTGTTTTGAGTAGTCATGGCTGAATTTTTACCCGATTTTGACCAACTGGATCTGGATGAGCCATTTGAATTTGATGACCGCCCGTATTTATTTGAACACGGAGTACACGGACGTACACGGATGCTGAGCTCATTGAAATTGAAGAGCGGACGAGGAGAGAGAGGGAGCAGTGTTACTTCGGTAGCACATATACTAAAATTGCAACAGGCAGAGGAACATGTCCGAATCCAGCTAAAGGTAAACACAGACGTTCATTTCTCCTTTACGTTATGTTGTCGGATAATTATACTAGATAATTATTTAGTGGACGTATTTTGATGTTGTTTGACGCTGTCTGAGTATCCTATTATTTAATACAGCGTGCGCTCACGGGCTGCAGGCAGGTCAGCCCTAGCTTCGTACTGGAGAAATGTCAAATATTGAACATCCTATCACTCAGTGAGACAAAAGCAGATCGGAAAATAGGGCCCAGGTTGAAAAAAACACTAGTTCCTCTAGTCCTCCTACATAGTTAGTGTCTCTGTCTGTCTGTCTGTCTCTCTCTCTGTCTCTCTCTGTCTCTTCTTCCCCTCTCTAGTGTTTTTTTTGGGGATATGTGATTGGGTATGTCTGTGCCGGTGGGTGGGCTAGGGACAAATTACTGTCAAGACTTAATTTGTTTTCATTCACACTTTGTATGTAAAAGCGCAGTGAGATTACTTTGTATGAAATGTGCTATATAAATAAAATTGAATTGATTTGATTTGATTAAGTCCAGTTATCAGATTTAAATCACAGACATCAAGTAACAACCACAGTATATCCTGCATAAGGTGATAATAACATTTTATGTCACAATTATCCTGGCCAAAATAGTTATGATTCATGATATTATCCTGATAGTCATCACAATATGCTTAAACTCCTAAAATGTCACGAAAACATGCACTTGCACATGCAAACAAATATTTATGTTGCATCACAGATAGGACACATCCTTTTTTAGTGAAAAATCGTTTTTAGTGATAAAGAATCTTAAAAACACAGGCTTTTATATTATCTAAAATGGTATCATATCTTTTGAGATGAAATATGCCAGTGATTAATTAAGCTCTTTTGGGTTCTTTGAGGTTGGTGCACATGAAGCTTCTTTTTTTGGCAGAGTCTGTTATTATTGGTTGCAAAGCAGTCTCATCAGAGCTTGACATTAAGCTTTTTTGTAATTATGAAAGAAACTAGGGATGCACCGAATATTCGGTAACCGAATATATTCGGCTGAATATTGCAAAAAAACACACATTCGGTATTCGGTGGAATAAGTGAAAAGCAAGGCCGAATAATAGCGGTGTGTTTTGATAATGTAATCAAACAGCGTGCGGTGAGGGATGGAGTAAAATGTCGGCAGTGTGGCGATATTTTACTCCGTCCGTGACCGCACTCGCATTTGCGACTAAAAATAGTTTCGCGCGAGCAAAATAAATCATTCAGCACACTGTGCGAGTACAGATTTCAATCAGCGGCAGAAACGAAAGGCGAATCCCGCCGGTTGTTGGTTGAACGGGGGTCACCTGTCAAATATGGCAGCCATAGTGCTCCGCGGCGCAAGATAAGGCTTACCGGTGACGGAGAAGTCCGGCTCCAATAATGTCCTTTTCTTGGCGTCATGACTGCCCAAAAGTACCTGGACAGCCAAGCCGTGGCAGTACTCAGGTATGTGACGTGTCAGAGGAGAAACGAGCTGTTCACATTTCTCTCTTTGTGGCAGGTAACGGCCCACAAACCTCACCGCGCTTTAGGGACTTTACTTATGAAGGGACTGTTCTTTACTTGTCAGGGGAGGAGGGCGGCTGGTTGATTTTTATTTTATTTATTTGTTTTATTTTGATCCCCCTTGTGTTAATCATTTATTTATGCTGTTTTTGAAGTATGAATAAGTTAATAAGTAATTTATTCCGTTGAAATATCATTCATGTATTATAGAAAAGTGATTTATCTTTTTATAAATGACAAAAGGCACATCTGCCTCATTTTCGCTGTGGTATCATGATACTACTCAGAACCATATTTTCACTGGTATCGTAACGTGGGTCCCAATTTTGGTACTGTGACAACACTAATCTGGAGGGGGGTTCATCTGCAAAAACGAATGAAAAACTAAACAACGGTATTCGGTACTCGGTATCCGGCCAAGCGTTTAATTTTATTCAGCTTCGGCTTCGGCCACAAATTTCCATTTCGGTGCATCCCTAAAAGAAACTAAATGTGACATATGCTGAAAAGCCTGTTGAGGCAAATTTGTGATATTGGACTTTATATATGAATTGAATTGAATTGAATCAAAATCGAATAGAATCAAATCGAACCGACACTGGAAGTTATAAGGGAAGAAAAGTTGCTGGGTCACATTACATGGAAGTTATTGGAAAAAAAACATGAATGTTCACAAAAATCATTTAAAATAGCCCATATGAAGAGGTGTTTCCTGCGTCCATGTAGTGATATATTTTGGTAATAAAAATTGAGTTGCTGGGACACATTACATGAAAGTTATTTAAAAAAGTGCTGATATTTTCATTAAAATATTTATGCAAAAAAAAAAAAAAAAAAAAATAGTAATGAAAATAAGTGTGCTACATAAGACCAGTCAAGTATCATTTTCCAATCATAATTTTCATTTATATTGGTAAGTCATGTAAGAAGCTATTAAAAAAAAAATATATTGTTGCTTAAACAATAAGACATTGATGATCCCTCACTCAGCCCCCAGCAGTTAAACGTGAGGGCTGGGAGGAGAGCAAACCGTCCTTCTGCTGCCAAAATTGGGTGAAATTATGTGAAGAAGATGACTCCGCTGGGTGTGGAGTGAATGTCTGTCAGATATCAAACATCAAAGAAACTTCACTGTAGTGCGGCAGCTGCGGCTGGCTTGACCACAGTGTTGTGCAGTTGTTGTGTTGTCCGTCTCATCTGTCCAAATGCTGTCAGTGTCTTTATCTGTTGTTATCTGTTATAAATGTGTTTTTCATTGCACGAGAAAATGGATTTGCAGCGTGCATAGAATGTGACGCAAGAGATTGTAAAAAGTGTCTGTTGCCTGAGTCTTGGCCAATGCGTGAGTTGACATGTGCAGTAGTGCATGTAGAGCTGAGAATCACTTGCACAGCCCAGATTTTATGTGTACAATCATGCATATATGCACATGGTATTTGGAGCCTTAATTGATGTATATATTTGGTGTATTATTCTTTTAGACACAGTGAAAGTCAAGACAGAGCCCAAGAAGGAGAAAGACACTAAGCAGCAGACGAAAGCCCAGACCAAAGCCAGCACTAAGAAAACTGGCAGCCGACAAAGCACGCCAAAAAAAGAGAAAAACAGTGTTTCCGATGTGTGTCCTCCCGAGCCTTTTGAGAGCCAGGTGGTGGCTCTGTGTTCTGAGGAGGCAGGTGGCAGTGAGGAGCCTCCGCTGGGCAGCAGCTGCAGCCCACCACACAAACTATTTCAGAGGACGCTGAGCCCCACAGATGTCCTGCATGTTCACAGCTATGCCAAAGGAGACTACGGAGAGGGAGAAGCCCCGCCCAAGGAGGAGAAGAAGAGTGAGGGCAGTGACAATAAGACGGAGAGCAGACATGTTAGCAAAGCAGTGAGTGGACACAGATGTTAAACACACTTGATACTATACCTCACGTGTTTCTAACCATTGATTCAGTATGCTTTATAAAATCTATATGTAATAATTAGAGACTTGAATCCGCTACAGTGATCAACTCACTGCCTTCATGTAGTTTTTGGCTTGGTGTGACTTTCGAGGATGCTCAGATATACTTTAGATTTCAGTCAGAAGCATTGAACTGAGGTATGGTCTATCAAAAGACTGTCCAGCCTGGATGCTGATACTAACCGAAGATGTGTCTCTCCAGCAGGTGGCAGAAGAGGTGGCTGGAGATGGAGAGCCAGAGAGTGACCTAGGGCAGCTGCCAGGCCACCATCCGCTCATAAAGGATGGCATGAGTGATGAAGGTCTGTCACATCAACTGTAACAACTTAGAGAGACAGTCCATGGATGTAGACATGGATGTAAACTTTAAGAAATGTCACTGGTGTGGGGAGGCATACAACCATAATTCTAGTTTCCATATAGAGTTTGGGTTTGACCTGGTCCGACAAGATGTTCAGGATAACAGCGACGTTCACATAATATAGTAAACAAGCCAAGTTAGCCCTCCAAGCTAATGCATGCTACCTATGCTAATGACGGTTAGGAAATGGACCACAACACTTTTGCTGACACTAGATATCAAACAGATATTGCTCCTCCTCACTTCAAGTCGCTGTCATTAACTTTTAACCTGCAAAGGCGGCAGCGCTGCAACATTGTAGGAATTTATGAAAGCCCTTGTGAACATTTCAATAGTTACACATTAAAACAATATTTATTAGCATTTACTCTATTGAACGACCCTGAAGCATGAGCAAACAGTCTGCGTCACTTCGGATCAAAGAGATGCGCCCTGTCACTGTCAGCGCAGGGCTGACAGGGCACCCTCTGCTGAGAAGAGAGAGAGAGAGAGAGAGGGAGAGGAGAGGAGAGGAGAGGAGATGGATTGTAGGTCTGTTTGTAAACAGGGCTTCTCTGACAGTCATGTATTTCCCCAAAAAACATCTCTTAATGGACAATAGAGCGCCGTTTTTGCGTTTTGCGTTTCGCATTGTTTTTTTTTCCAAAATCGCCTTGATATCCAGCAAATCGCCTGGCAACCCTCCAATCGCCAGTATACGATTTGATCGCTGATCGCCCCAGGCCTACCCCAGAGCCTGACAGGCAAAGCCTCTCTTCCTGTGGGCAGCTGCCTCTGTCACAGTCAGACTCACCCTGGTTCTGGGTCTGCAGCTGCCTCTACTGGAATGCAGCAGAAAACGAGGAGTGCTCACCCTGCAGCTTAAGAATCATTTCTACTCCCTTTTATGTATGAGAATGGATACAGCCAATTTAAAGGTTGTAAACATGGCTGTCCTATACTTCCATGCGTCCCTTATGTTGGCATAGATACAGCCAATAGATGGCACTAGAGGGTTGAGTCAAAAGTTTTACACAACAACAAACAAGCGAGGTGATGGTGGAGGAGGTTGTAAAATTGTTCTCGCAAACCGAGGCGGTGTTGTACACAACAGAGGTTTGTGTGGCCATTAAAGAGATCTCAACGTGTGGACAGATAATTCTTTTTACTGTTTTCAGTTTATATTACTATATATTACAGCCGTGGCCAAAAGTTTTGAGAATCACACAAATATTAATTTTCATAAAGTCTGCTGCCTCATTTTTTATGATGGCAATTTGCATGTACTCCAGAATGTTATGAAGAGTGATCAGATGAATTGCATTTAATTGCAAAGTCCCTCTTTGCCATGAAAATGAACTTAATCCCCCCAAAAACATTTCCAATGCATTTCAGTCCTGCCACAGAAGGACCAGCTGACATCATGTCAGTGATTCTCTCGTTAACACAGGTGAAAGTGCTGATGAGGACAAGGTGGAGATCACTTTGTCATGCTGATTGAGTTAGAATAACAGACTGGAAGCTTTAAAAGAGGGTGGTGCTTGAAATCATTGTTCTTCCTCTGTTAACCATGGTTACCTGCAAGGAAACACGTGCAGCCATCATTGCTTTGTACAAAAAGGGCTTTACAGGCAAGGATATTGCTGATACTAAGATTGCACCTAAATCAACCATTTATCGGATCATCAAGAACTTCAAGGAGAGAGGTTCAATTGTTGTGAAGAAGGCTTCAGGGCGCCCAAGAAAGTCCAGCAAACGCCAGGACCGTCTCCTAAAGTTGATTCAGCTGCGGGATCGGGGCACCACCAGTGCAGAGCTTGCTCAGGAATGGCAGCAGGCAGGTGTGAGTGCATCTGCACGCACAGTGAGGCGAAGACTTTTGGAGGATGGCCTGGTGTCAAGAAGGGCAGCAAAGAAGCCACTTCTCTCCAGGAAAAACATCAGGGACAGACTGATATTCTGCAAAAAGTACAGGGATTGGACTGCTGAGGACTGGGGTAAAGTCATTTTCTCTGATGAATCCCCTTTCCGATTGTTTGGGGCTTCTGGAAAAAAGCTTGTCCGGAGAAGAAAAGGTGAGCGCTACCATCAGTCCTGTGTCATGCCAACAGTAAAGCATCCTGAGACCATCCATGTGTGGGGTTGCTTTTCAGCCAAGGGACTGGGCTCACTCACAATTTTGCCTAAGAACACAGCCATGAATAAAGAATGGTACCAAAACATCCTCCGAGAGCAACTTCTCCCAACCATCCAAGAACAGTTTGGTGACGAACAATGCCTTTTCCAGCATGATGGAGTGCCTTGCCATAAGGCAAAAGTGATAACTACGTGGCTCGGGGAACAAAACATCGAAATTTTGGGTCCATGGCCAGGAAACTCCCCAGACCTTAATCCCATTGAGAACTTGTGGTCAATCCTCAAGAGGCGGGTGGACAAACAAAAACCCACAAATTCTGACAAACTCCAAGCATTGATTATGCAAGAATGGGCTACCATCAGTCAGGATGTGGCCCAGAAGTTAATTGACAGCATGCCAGGGCGAATTGCAGAGGTCTTGAAAAAGAAGGGTCAACATTGCAAATATTGACTCTTTGCATAAACTTACTGTAATTGTCAATAAAAGCCTTTGACCCTTATGAAATGCTTGTAATTATACTTCAGTATATTATAGTAACATCTGACAAAAAGATCTAAAAACACTGAAGCAGCAAACTTTGTAAAAACCAATACTAGTGTAATTCTCAAAACTTTTGGCCATGGCTGTATATTATATCACCATTGTGTTCTGTTCTGCCATTATTTAAATGTCTTTGTCATCTCCTTTAGTTGTATCTCACTTAAATTGGCTCCAGGATCTCCAGTGGTACTGCTCCGTTTCATCTGTATCCGTAAACTCTTAGAAAATGCACAGAAATGCTGACAAAAGGAATGCAAGGCTGCATCCGTCTCTGTATCTAATGTTGAGCATAAATAAGCCCTTAATCAGGGTACTGAAAATGTTCCCAGGTGCACACTCCACACTGACCAAAACAAACAAACAAAAAAAACAAACAAACAAAAAGACATCTTAACTTGAAGAATCTCAGTCGATTCTCCGACTGGTGATTTTAATCTCTGACTGTCAGATGGCAGCCCTATTAATTAGCTTTGTCCCTTTAGCGAATACCATCCTTGTAGTTGTTATTTGATCTGATTGTGTGTACTGACTTTGCTTTTGTGCCTTTTTTGTCCCTCAGAGGCCCCAGAGGAGGTCCCCACATTAGAGGAGGGTGGTCTGGAAGGGGAGAGCTGGGCTAAACCCCTGGCTCACCTGTGGCAGAGCAGACCTCCCAACCTGAAAAAAGAGAGGGATTACAATCAGCGCATGGGATCCAAATCTCCATATTGCTCCATCTGCATCCTGTTCCACACATACCGTCAGGTATGTCTGTAGCACAGCACACATGGAAAGAAAAAAGTAATTCATACACAGAAATGACAAAATAGTGCTCAGTGTATCACTATTATTTTGCATAACCCTGACAACAGCATCACCGTGATCTTAGTTTGAGAACTATACATTTTTATTAAAAAGTATAAGTTGTTCATATATTATCCAAACACCATCAGCATGAGCGGACAGTGCAAAGTAACCTGGTGTCATTCTGTGGACTGTTTCATTTAAATAATGCGGTTGGCATTAATGCAGTTTTGTTTAGATTTTTAGATGGGGGAACAATGCTGTGTTGTGATATATTCCTTAAACGTTATGTTAAAACTGCATGTCCATTTTCACTGAAATCAAGCAAACTTGATCTGAGGATGCGGACCATGTGATTTGATCTAATGCTTCAGGCACTGTCCAAAATTAACTTTTTGACTGAACAGCCAACCAAACTAATCGATGAAAACTGGCCAAGCATATTTTCTGCCAGCCAAAATAACGGTAGCAGGTAGCAGACATGCGGCAAGTGATGTAAAGTGCTTAGTTTATTTCAAACATGCATATTTTAGGGCCAAAATGAAGGCATATTGGATACAACTTAAGTATGTATTTATTTATTTATTTGATTTTTAAATATAATTTTAAGTCTGCCCATACAGAAATTAAAGAGATGTTGTTATGATTTTAGCATCTAATTATTAAAAATGCTGTAGTGAAAGAACAAAAAAGTAATGATGGATGTATTTCAAAAGAGGAAAACAAGAAAAAAAAAAGAAATTCCCCTGTTACAAACAATCTTCATAGCCATTCAGGTAAAGAGTTTACAAGTTGCACTTGAATGCACCATGGTAGTCAGCCACACACTTAGCTGTACAAAGCAAGGGAGATTTCAGAGTTTACAAAGTGCACCTGAATGCACCATAAAGTCACTGTCACTGTGAGTGTCAAGCTTGTCTGCGACACAGACAAATAGCAGAGGATGGAAGCAGCGTGACCATAAATGACACTAAAATGCTCGCAGATAGCCCTCTAAGATTTGCTTGCCAAACAGAAAATCTACCTGCATTTGGCTCTTGGTGGGTGTTAATTTCAGACCCTGGCTCCAGGTCAAGTGAGTAAGTGAACTTTTTGCTGAGATTGTCAACTGTTGTTTCCAAGATCAAGATTACATTTTGGAGTTCAGTATTAAACATTATTTAACATTATATTCTCTAAATACACACAAAATATTAATTCAAAGCATGATTTATCCATATGTGCACACAAATTAATTTTTTGTCTACCTGCTGGTCTCCTTCAACGGTTATTTCGAGATTTTTGAAGTGGGGTCGTATGAGGAACTTAAAGTATATAGTCAGTGTATTACCATCAGTGGATGACAGTTGGTGCGCCCCCAGTTTGGAATAGCAGGCAAGAGTCCCACCAGGGAAGCTCAGCATTACATTGCTGTGGATGGGGTTGATATCAAAATGTATTTTAGCCACCTTAAAAGAGGCCCACCTAAAAAACGAAAAAAGTCTACATGGATGCTATATTGAGGATTTTTTCACCACTTTACCTCGCCGTCAGACAGCCTTTTTCTTTTGTGAAACTTCTGTATTACTGCGCCACTGCTGCCGCACACTGTATTACTCCGCAGCTCAGCTGTTTGGGTCAGAAAGTGCTGTTGCGAGATCAGATGTTAAAGAAACTTTACTTTTTTAGATACCAGTATTTCAAACATGGTGTGTGCTTGTGTTTTGCCGGGCTGTTTAAACAAAGAGAAGCTCCGCTCACCACATACATTTCACCGTATTACATTAATTGACATTTTCTTCACAGCTATGGCTAGTTGCACGCAATTGGACACCAATTCTCCTCTCTCTGTTATTTCAGCTTGGTTTGCCTCTATAAATGGCTAACACTAATACGTTGATAAGGTAACACAGTCTATGAAACTTTGGTTTTATTCAATAAAGTGTACTGAGAGCCAAAAACGTACTAAGACAACTCGTTATTAGGTCCTTCTGGTCTGGTATGCCTTTTCCAATGTGTCATCAGTAGCTCCTTGGATCCATCTGCATCATTTACAGTTAACACATCTGCACCACCAGGTAATTTGTGCTCCTTCTTGGACCCCAGTTTCCACAGACGTTGCTCGTCTTTCACTCTTGGCCCATTCAATCTCACTCTGCAGAAGTTCTTCTTCTGTATACTCTGGTTCATATAGGACTTTTCTTGTCTCCTCAGTGAACGGCATTTCGTTGTCATAGTCACTCATTTTGACTAGTTTTTGTCGTGTCTTCCATAAACTGCTGACAGTCTGACCCAAACAGCTGAGCTGCGGGGTAATACAGTGTATGGCAGCGTTGGCACAGTAGTATGGACGTTTTACGATTGAGAAAATGTAGCATTAAAGAAAAGGGCTCTCTGACGGTGAGGTAAAGCAGTGAGAAAAATTGTCAATATAGCGTCCACTTAGACTGATAAAGACTTAAGATTATTTTTGTGGGCTTTATTTGCCTTTAATGACAGGACAGAGAGTGAAATGGGGAGACAGAGAGAGTGGGAACTGACATGCAGCAAAGGGCCGCGAGCCGGATTCGAACATGGGGCGTCGGCACTATCCACTATGCTACCGACACCCCAGGTGGGCCTCTTTTAAGGTGGCTAAAATACATTTTGATATCAACCTCCATCCACAGCAATGTAATGCTGAGTTTCCCTGGTGGGACTCCTGCCTGCTATTCCAAAATGGGGGCATGCCACCTCATCTTCAGAAGGTAATACGCTGACCATATATAAGTAACACATACCACCCCACTTAAGAAATCTCGAACTAACCCTTAAAAGCACACAAGTGTTTGTTTAAAAACTTCACATTTTTATTACTGAGGCTCAGAGGCTGACATTATTGTGGCATTTTCCATAAATATTTGTGTACGTATTAAAGAAGGCACAATAGTTACATTACAGTGCTGGAGATCTTTCATTTAGTATTTAAGGGCATCAGATTTTGCTACAGGCACTATGTACAGATGTACCATCAGAGATTATGGAGGATGGTAACATGGATTTAGTAGAATGTAAGCGAACACTGTCATTTAGTAAATAAAGCTTTGAGTACAATACGTTGAAGTACAAACATACCTGTCCTGTGACCCAGTAGTTGTTGATGGAGAGAAGTTGCACTTTTCAGAAAAGTCCATATTCAGGATATTACTTGTTACACTGCTTGTGTTGTAAGCTCCATGTTTCTGCCTGCTGTCAGACTGAATGTGGGAACAGTGTAGACGCTCCTGTCATACTTAATGGTGGACGGATGCGGACCAAACCTCTTATCCCAGAGATGTGTTTCACCACCACCACAGAGGAGGACTCTGAGTGTGAGGAGCAGCCCATCACCCCTCATCTAGAGGAAGATGGAACCAGCCTCCTCATCAGCTGCTCTCAGTGCAGCATCCGGGTTCACACCAGTCAGTACACATGCATTTGAACTGAGATTATTTGCTGCAGATATGTAACACAGCCTGTGTGCTCATGATCAAAGTGTTTTTACACAAATGCTGTCAACCAGTTCTCATTCCCCCAAATTTCTCATGTGTCATTGGCACAGAAATGTGTTACTGTAGAGCTGCAACATTTGATGGCCGAACACAACCACTTAAAACTGCACTGACTAAACACTGTCTGTGGATGGCAGCACATGCTAATAGACCTTCATAATGATATAATAATGACTCTCTCAGCTACTACACCTGTGAGTCAGACTGTATCTTTGTGTTTGTATATTCAGGCTGTTATGGTGTGGATCCAGCCACTGTGAGCAACGAGTGGAAATGTGCACGCTGCAAGGCCAACGCCATGAAGGAGGTCAGTCAACACTCCAGGGTAGATTTACTCTACATAGTGCATGTTCTTGTTTAATTGGAGTCCTCTTGGTAATCAAGTGGCTTAGGCTTAAAATCGTTCTTTCTGATGGTTACAATTTGCAGACAAACTTCCTCACACTGTCTAACTTGCAAAAAGAAAAATTTACTGTGACATTTCTGTAACTACACCTTCATCTGGCAAACAGTTAATAAAAGAGTGGCTGTGGGTTTGGTTGCAAACTCCCTTTTTACAGCAGAGCCATTGATCATGAGCACACTAACTGGCACACACAGCTTTACATTAAAACGTCAAACCCCATCTTTATCCGATATATATATTAAATAAACTAATTATGACCAAACTTAAAATAAAAATGAACTCTTGAACATAAAGCAAAGTGATAAGAACTACCTGAAATGACAGAAACCATCTTTAGGAAAAATTTATTTGATGTGCACTTTGAGTTTTTAGTTTGGCCCATGTCCCATCCACTAACAAGGAGGGGCAGGGTTTATACTGCAGCCAGCCACCGGGGGCGATCAAGATGTTTTGGCTTCACTTTTGGGAAGCTGTCATGTTGTCCATCTTTTTTATACAGTCTACAGCTTGACCAACATGATCATGAGATGGCTGTTTGTTTTGGTAATGGCTGCAAATAAAGGTGCTTTTAGTTGACTACTACAAGCTATGGCAGTGAAAGATTTAGCTCTTTGTTATTTGTATGTATGTTCTTTTTGCAGAATTGCTGTTTGTGTTCACTGAGAGGTGGAGCCTTGCAGAAAGCCAACAATAATAAGTAAGTTGTTCCAGAGTCCTCAGGAAAGGTAAAGAACATGTAGCTATTTTAGAACATCTGCACTTTGATAATGGTACTTTATCTTTGACCAGAATAACATCATTCATTTTCCGTAACTGCTTATCCGCAAGGGGTTGCAGGGGTGCTGGAGCCTATCCCAGCTGACATTGGGCGAGAGGTGGGGTACACCCTGGACAGGTCGCCAGAGTATTGCAGGGCTGACACATAGAGACAGACAACCATTCACACTCACACCACATTCACACCTAGCCTGCATGTCTTTGGATTGTGGGAGGCAGCTAGAGTACTCAGGGAAAACCCACGCTGACACAGGGAGAACATGCAAACTCAACACAGAGGGGCTCCCCCACCCAGGGTTTGAATACCCCACCCTGGACTCGAACCAGGAGCCCTCTTGCTGTGAGGTGATAATGCTAACCACTGCACCACCATGCCGCCAGAATAACATCAAACTGGTTTAATTACTTAAATGTAGCACAAAAAAGCATTGTAGTCACACACACATACAAAACATGAAGAGAGGTCCGCATGCTCTAGCTCCCTTGAGTGCAACTTATTTGCTCATCCACAAGTGACATTTCAAGCTAACGTACTTCCTTAGACTGGGTCTGAAGAAGAACATTAGTTTGAAATGTTACTTGTGGATGTGCAAATAGATTGCACTTAAAGAAGCAACAGACAGCATTTTTGCCTATATATATCATTATGGAAATAATGTGGGTTGCACAGGGTAGTATACACAGTAAAATCAGACTATCAGCGTTTACATAGGTTACTTAGTGACTTTGCAATAAGCTTCTGCCACCGGGGACGAATTTTCGCAGAAAAAAGCTGCTTTACGGCAGGAAATGCGTCATGTATTGCCAAACTGGTCGGTCAGCCAATCAGGGACTGGAGCTGGTTCTTATGAGGAACTGGCCAGGGCATAGTTGAGTCAGGAGCACAATGGCAGACAGACAAAGTTTGGAGATAAGTGAAAAACGGCCTCTCAAAAGAAAATGAGCTAATCTGTCTGAGGAGGCTATGATGTTCAAAAAGGAGAGTGATAAAAGAAGAGGAAAAACAAGAGTAAACCTCAGTCAGGTGTTCAAGAGATGGAGGGAGCTCCGTGACCAAAGAGGCTTCAACACCGGTGTCCAGGTAGCTTTCTTTCTAATGGATCAGTAAGTGACACAGCTAAATGTTAGCTAGACCAGAGAGGACTGTACTGTACTGGCTGCTAGTTCATTCCTAGCTGGCCAGCATCGCAAATTGCCGCAACCAGGGACCGGGTAGTGAGTGTTGGTCGGCTGACATCCTCGCCCCC